TTTAAACGCTAGTTTTGTAAAATTGCATTAATATTGTATGTTCGAATAAAATATCTGTTTTATCCTTTAGGTGTTTGGGCCCAAAATGACGAGTGTTGGATAGATCCCAAAACTAAGGGACTCGTTGTTATTGGAAGAAGGTGGGTACATTTATGCATATTCATATTTTTCTTATAGTTTACATACTACTAACACTTACACACTACTCAAAGCAAATGTAACCTCTTCATCGAAACCTTACTATCGATTTTTTTAAGTAGAAATAAAACAATTAAAAGCTTAATAATTAAGATGGAAAAATATATTAAATGGGTGTCCAGGTTGGTCGTCTTTCTAGTGATGAGCTACAAGAAGAGACTGATTACAGTGCCATCTGGTTTACAATTTCTTTGTTACGTTTCTATCTTGAAAAGTGTATAAAATTAGGCGAAAAAGGGAAATACAAAAGCGTAAGACATTTATTTATTACCAAAATAGGCCTCGTGGGCATTTTTATTGTGACCTGAGTAACTATTATGTGACTATCGTAGTGCTTAAAATTAAAATGTATTTAATCGTGGTTTCCTTCACTTTCAAATGATCTTGAAACAGAAAAAAAATAGTTATTATAGGACATTTTTATTTGCAGTACACAATTTTTCTAAGAAGTTTGAAGATCGAATATAAAGATATCTTGAATAATTAAGTTTTTCGCTTCTTCTAAAGACTGTTTCGTCCTGTTAGAGTGTTAGAAATTAGGAACAAAGATGGACGTTTTAAGCGGTATACTCTCAGAATTTATGACCACAAGATATCTTTTTGAACAAAATGTTCTACAGCTTTTTATTTTCCTTTTTTGCTCTATCTCTTCAAGGAAAATTACTAGGTGCCTCAGTAATCAATTAATCAGCAATTAATCTTAAAGGGCATTAACTTTTTACTATTCCTATATACCATATTTCTAACTACAGCAGAAGTCGTTTGAAAATTAAGAGGGTACTCTGCATGATTACGATAATTCACACGTAATATATACAATGTAGCTACACTTGCTATAATTTTATTGCTCAGTTTATAATTATTGTGGTAATGTATTTCTAATATTCGTAGCATTTGTTTTCTACATACTATTACTATTCAGAGTTTGTCAACATTCCCTACAATTTAACAGGGGGCGTAGAGTTTTTTAAAAGCCCTTAAAGGTGCTTTTTTCATTGGATGTTTTTAATAAGTGATTAATTTACCCTTTTTCCCTTCGAATTATGCAAAAAGACGCAGTTCACATTGTTCTATTCAACGTCTTCACAATTAATTCAACCCCAATCTATTTCGGCGTATTGTCAGTCAGTAGCGTATGAAAACGCCATTCGTTTAACATGATTCAAAATTTCATGATTTTTGACAATTGTCAAAAACAATGATAAAAGTTTTTTTTTTTTTTTTTGACATGATGGTTAAAACCGTCAAATGCCAAAAACTTTCCAACCCTGCCTAATTATGATTTTTTTTTTTAAAGTGCTAAAAAATATTTTTTGAGTTCTTGAAAAGTGCTTATTTTTTATTGAATAATTTGGCTACGCACCCTGTTTAATTAATCCGTTAAATGTCTATTAAATAAAAAACAATCTGTATTTTTCAATTTAACTGGTACACGTGAATTCACCTATTTTATTTATTTGTTTAATTTTTTTTTTAAATAGCCGCTACTCATCTAAAAAAATAGAAAAAAGCAGTTGAATTTACTTGACTCCGCATTGGTGACCTTATCGCTTACACCGGCGAAATGGTACCTAAAAATCTAAAAAGAAAGTGCCTAAAAATCATTTTACCTTCTTTCTTTGTAATTTTTTGTTAAAGTATCCATCTAATATGAGTCTAAAAACGTCTAAAAAAGAATAAATTATTCAGTTGGTTAACAGTTTGATTTATAGTGTTCTACAATGATTAACGAATTTGTTTACGGCTGCGTTCTTATACTTGTAATATTGTTTCAAATTTACTGTCACTTGAATAATGAATTAAATTTAATATGCTTTTTTTATTTATTGTTTCTTTTTTAAGAAAATGAACCCTATTTTTTATTCAAAAAGTAGAAATACAATATGATTTAAATTGAATTTAGGATTATAAAAAAGTTGTACAATGTTGCACTATAATTTAAACATATATACTAAACTTCTTGACAGTGCAAAAAAGAAGGAAAAAAAGACATAACTATTATTTATTTAAACAGTTTTGTCGGACACATATAAGAAATAAGGCTTTAAAATATCAAAGGGAAAAAGGTTTCAATTGTTGCTTGATTTTAATTTAAAATAAGCATAAATTTATTTATTTTTTATGAAATGAATTTGCCTTTAAATTGAATTTCTGTTACAGTGATGACGTACTGAATCCAAATGGAGAGAGATTTGGATGTTCTGATATTTATTACGCAAGTGAGTAAAATACATTATCTTTGTGACTATTTTTCAATTAAATAAGCGCCACTTTAGCACTCAGTACGCTGATTTTTTTGAAATTCATTTAAGATCAGAATTAGAATTATAAATAAACAGATAGATTGAGTGAAAATGGATGATTGCATTTAATTTTAAGTTCAAACTGTCTTCTAAAATCTACTCAGCACTAAACTTACATATAGAAGAAAAAAATTGTTGGCGAAAAAATTCCACCGCCAAACGTTAAAAATCTATTACGCACTAAATGTAAAAATTTTAGTGGGAATTACCTATAATTACAGAAGAAAAAACGTTTTTAAGAAAATATCTAAATTTTGTAAGGCTTTATACCGCCTAATTTTGGAAGAAATGTAAAATGTTTATTTATTTATAGAGGATTAAATTAAACATTCTTGAACTTGCCATCAGACGAATCATGTAAATATTAGTTTTTATTTTTATTTGAAAAATATAATTGTACTTACATTCTCTCAATTAAACAAAAATTATCATACAATTATCCTAACTATTTTCAATTTCTACACTTAGTATTAAATTTATCATGTTTAGTTGAGAAATTTTAAGAAGTTAAATATAATTTTATGCACTGTTGAAAGTAAGAAAAGTAAGTCCAAAGAACCAGAGACTAAAAAATATTGCTAGTCCGTACTTATTTTCATTGGTCCATTTACGTCTCTTAATTAGTTGTTTTTAAAGTAATAAAATAAATTTAAACGAAAAATTGAAATAGAGAGTTTGTGTAATGTTACAGATGTAATGGAATATGTCATGTTGCGACAAAAACACAGACCAAAATCTGAAACAGAAAATCAAGAACCAAAACTTAATTTTATTCATTTTTAGTTATATCTAACTAGTGGGCTGCGCCCCCTGCTCTCTAACGCTCGCCAACCCCCGAAAATTGCTGCACAATCTTATATGGTTAAGCTCGTTTCGCTCGCTACTAACTTAGGTATATTGCAAATGCACAAAATTCTAAGAATTCAAAACAATCATTCAAATCCATATAAAAACCTTTTTTTTTTTTTTTAAATTACATCTTTTTAGTAAATACTAAGTCATTAAAATAAATTTGAATTCAAAAAAATGACATGTAATTCGTTAAACCTACTAGAAATGTGCTATAGTATAATTCGTGATATAAATTAAAAATCTTCAAATAAATTCGTGAAAAAAAACGCTTTCGACAAAATACTAAAATAGAAATCTATCGACAAAGACTACTCACTTCTGTCTAGCTTAATAGTATGAGATTGCCGCACCTGATGCTCTCTGGTTATTTCAGCTTCCGTTTTTAAAAGCGCTATATGCTGAGCCACCTCAACTAGATTTGACATGTGACATTTTTAGCGGCAATCATTGGTCGATTTTCTAGCGTTGCCATTTGGGGAGTTGTAATTATGCTTTTTTTGGTCGCCATGTAAGAGAAATAGTAACGTAAACAAAACAAAGCAAGCGTTGCCACCGGCGAAAAAGAAATACAGCCAAAATTTCGGAGCCACGTAAGAGAATTATATATATTAGATTTTATTATTCCCTTAGAATTTGTTGAATTTGTGCTAATTCATGCAATTTGTTATGATTTCTTTTTTTAATATTATTTTATTTCATTATACCAAAAGGGTTGTGTATAAAACTATTTACTTAAAAGCATTAGAATAATTTGAATGTTTTATATTTCTAGTTCACACCATGGAGGAACTGCAGGACTACATTTGCCTTGGTCAGGACAGCATCGAAGGAGACCAGCGACTAGTGTTGTTCGTAAAGCTGAAGAATCAATTTACGTTTACACCTGAATTTGTTGAAAAAGTTAAGAACCAAGTGTGCACATCACTCACCGATGAACACGTTCCTGCCATAGTTCTCGAAGTTCAGGATATTCCAGTATGAAATATTTCATATATATACAATTACTATCATTATCATGCGTGTTACACTATCATGCTACAAACATTTTCAACTGAAAAAAGCTAAATTTATGCATAAAATTATAGCTGCATTTATTATAAAAGTAATTCTAAGCATACATTCCCACATGCGTTCTTAAGCTTAATTGCTATTGATAAAATCCGCTAATTTTATCTGAGTTTCTCGTTTGAAATGCAAACAAAAAGGGAAATATATTTTATTACCTTCTCAAAAAGTTAAATGGGTACGAAAACCAAATCAAGGTCATTTCCCCCATAAAATGCGTTACATGTTTGAAATATTTTGGGAAATAGGGAAAGTAGATCTGAAAGAAAAGTTCGTTAAATAGAAAATTCACTTCGCTATTTGGAAATTATTTTAAGATTAAATTTCCAAAATTTTCTTGATTCCTCGAAAAAAATCGCAAATTAGAGAAATTCGTAAAATGGAAGTTCGTTAAATAGAGGTCCGACGGTATATTTTTTTCCTTTCTAGTGAAATTTTTAAAAAAAATTCAAGTGATTGAGATGATTTCGAAAATTGTTCCGTAAATGCCATGACCTAGATTAAATTTCTTGTTTTATTTCATTTTAAAATTTTTATTGATTNTTTTGTAATACATGATAAAATTTGGTAATTTTAACATGCTATCTTAGCCTTAGAGTATGGAATGAAAGCTATTCATTCGGATAAATTTAATTTTCAGTTTTGTATTTTGTACTAAATGTGTGGTAATAAACTAAAAATTTTGAAAATCATAACTTCCGCTAAACTGTATCACACAAACGGAAAAAAATTACGTAAGAATGGTTTAAATACGGTATATTTTGGAAGACCAGAACCAGAGTTATTAACCAGAGTTATTAACCAGAGTTAGAGTTTTTTTTTATATCGTAAAAGTCATTACAATACAGTATGGTAATTTTACCTGAATTTTTCTACTTTGTACCAAAATAAATAAAAAAACAATTAAAATAAATAAATAAAATGCAAAATCAGACAAAAAACCCATAAAAAAATAGATACAGTAGGACGATATTAAAACTTCATAATCCACAAAAAACTTTGGCAGCTCATAATCAACTACTACATGTAGGCGTTTTCTGTACATTCCAAGCTTTTGAAAAAGCTAAAATAACCTGGAATATGTTGTGAGAATTTTCAAAAAGCTAAAGAATAAAATTTTAAAAGAAGATCATAAACAAATCAAGTGGAAAAATTAGTAATAGAAATAAGATGATAATATATGGGGGAAAAAACTTAGTTATAATTCTTTTCTTCGTTATAATTCTTTAATTCTTAAAGTTTAAACGGAGAATATTAGCAGTGGCAGTGATAAATTATTTAAAGTGTAATATTACTGTTATTTATTTTTCAGTTTTGTATTTATTACTAAATGTGCAGTGATAAGAACCATAATTTTGAAAATCAAAATTTCCGATAAACCGTTAACATATGAACAGAAAAATGACCAATTAAATGGTTAAAATACCATATATTTTGGCATTACTAAAATTTCGTTTTTTTCTTTTCATAATTGTCTTTACCATACAGTACGGTAATTTTACCAGAATTTTCTGTCTCCTTGTAAAATGAACCCTTAGAGAAATCGAGTCAAAGCAGACAATTTTTTATGAACTTGTTTTTCCCCCAAATAATATTTTTGTCCTTATAAAATGGTTTTTATCATATCAAACAGATTAAAAATAGGCTGTTTTTTGACCGTATATTTAGCTTACTCTATTTGCAAAACCATGAGCATTTTCGGTTTTTCAGAAATTTGCCTTTGCAATTAGGTTTTTGTCAATAAAAACGATTTTCATTTTTATCCTTTGATAGCTCAGTTAAAAGTTTTAAAATATTGCACATAACATTAAAAAAACACACACACAACGCATTAACATGTGGCTTAAAGTCATTTCTAGGGCTATTGTGGCGTTACGCAGGCACATTTTTGACAAAAATCATCGACAGCTAATTTTAGAAACGGATATGGATACATTATATGGATATTTAATGTGATAGTTAAAGGGTGGTCAAATTTCGTCTTATTTTATAATGAAATTCATGACTTACAATATTTTTTTATTCTAACTCTTTTATTTCCTAAGAACCACTGTAAGCCCATTTTTTTTGGTGTGTACTTTACAAGAATCTTACCTCGTCTCAATTAAGAATTCTTTTTCTTTTTTTTTAGTATAATTTGAATGGAAAAAAGATGGAGCGCCTTCTGAAGAAAATAGTGATGACGAATGAAATACCCGAAACGTCGAATATCAAAAATCCAGAGTGTTTGCCAGCATACTTAAACATTCCAGAACTTCAAGGTTATTGATCTCAATCACGTGACCAACGTTAATTCAAAAAGGAAGGAAGATGTCCTCACATGTGAATTTTTAATTTGTAGCAATATTTTAACATTATTTCTCAATAGAGCCATTCCTTATAACACAGATATTTCTACAACACTCTTACAATTTAATAAATTTCGAACAATTCATAATCGTATACAGAATGTTGCGTAATCACCTCCATTTTATATCCGTTGTCAAACATAAAGAAGCAAAATATAGACATTTGGCATTTCAAAACTGTTTTTTTAAAAAAAAGACGAAAACGCTATCAAAATCTGCCGAATTAGTGTGGAGGTTTAGAAACACTAAAATCCTTTTGAATGCCCGAAGAATAAGCGAGGAGCTGAAAAGAAATTGTAAGCGCCTTTGACTTTCATCCTGCAATGAAGCAAGTTTTGAGCTTTAAGATTTCGTTACTTTTTGTCAATCTTTTTTTAATTTTTTTATTTTAGCTTCAATATTAAGTTGCGATCCTCAATGTATGCATTTTTTATTTCATTTTTGGCAAAGATTCTAGAAATATCTATTAAGGACAGTCATAACAAGACACCCAGTAATATTAGAAATTTTCTCGCACAATAATTTATTTATTATTACGTAAGAAAAGAATGTTTTCAAGATGTGTAAGTCAATAATATGTAAACGTGCATATGTTTAATTTGAATCAACTATATCGCCGGACATCGCAATCGTTTTTAGGAATTTAGAAGCTATACTATTAAATCGTTCATGATAATTTTTTCCTTAAAAACAAAGTAATATTGAAATTATTATGGCATACTATTTCCTATTGTTTTGGTACTTGGAAATTTTAAGGCATTAAATGATCATAAGAGAAATTTAAATATAAACATTCAAATTTAACTGAGTGCTTCTTGATTTAAGATAAACAGTATAATGTTGCTATAACTAGAAGGATAAAATACTTTACTAGTTCAAAAAGAGACAATTTTAAAACAAAATACTGCTTGGTAATGGCATTATTATGTGTCTGTGTTTTTCACTAGATAATAGTGTGTTAATTTATATAAAATTGAAAATTTTAGTTATAAAATTGAAAAAAAAAACTTTTTTTTTCAAATTTGAAAACAATATTAAGTTTCGAACATTCAAACTAATACCATATATAAAAAGTTTATTCATATTAAATTTTCAATTTTTCTGCAAGTTTTGTGTAAATACCGATAAGTCGGTTTTTCTTACTGTATGATTTTTTTTGTACTTTACCCACCATGTGATGTTCAGTTTTTTGTATATATGCGTTCTATGTGTTTATATGTGCAAGTTACTATTACTTGAATGGATTTTAAATGTACTTTATACTTTAATTTCCAACTGCATAAATATTTTGATATTGAACAAAGTTTTGAATAATCTACCAACTTACGAATTTTTTTCTCTGGATTTTAAATATTTTTAAACTGAATAATGTCATCAACTCATTCTTTCCATTATGAATGACTGTTAGCTCATGTTTTGAATACTAAATGTATTTAATATTAGCTTTTTTACTGTGATAAGACAAAACATATTTTTAACAATTTCCTTAACCATGAAGTGAATATTTTTGAAATAAATGTAGGTACTACTTAAAATATTTTTTTAAACAGCAGTTGTATAAATTTTAGTATTTTAATCAATCCGTGTATACAGAACTTGTCTAACACCAAAATTACTTGTCACACTTTTGTATGAAAACATATGCGACTCAATCTCGCTCTTGTAATACATGTATTGTTTCAACAATTTTGAAAAATAACAATAAATAAATGCTGATGTATTAAAATTGTGGTGTTTATTTTTTTATAAACTTTTGTAAAAAAACACACTTCTATTTTTTAGTTAGCCTAATATAGCTTGTACGTAAAAAAATTACAATATAACAAATAAATTACTATGAAATCTCTAACTGCGTTTTAAAAGTTTACTGTTATAAATTTTTTGTTGAAAAAAATTTGATAAACAACTTATCACAGCATATCCTTCATTCCAACAAAAAATAAGTTATCTGTTTTCACTATGATGACTGATTATTTTTTACTGATCACACTTTTGCTGATTATTTTTTAAGACTTGTTGAATATCAAGTCAAATTAGACTCAATTTTGATTTGCAAAACCATGAGCATTTT